CTCCTCAGGAATCCAAGGGAGGGTTGGAAGCGGCTCCAGCCTTTCCCCCTCTCCGGATTTTTTAATTTTATTTTATTTTTTTTTTTTTTGGCAAACAGGATGCCGGGTTTCCATTTCAGATCTCCGTTCTTAGGGAGCTTTAATTCCTTTGTCTCTTCCTTTCCCTGGGAATCCGAGCCTCCGCAGCTGACAGAAACCAGGGAAGTGTCAGCTGCTGGAAACTCCAATTCTGGGAATATTCCCGAAAAACCTCCCGAGGGGGCAGCGGGGAGGGAAATCGGGATAAGGTTTCCCCTTGTGCCGGTGCCGGGCTTTGTTTGGGATGAGGTGATGATTTCCCGGGATGATCCCGGGCTGGGGGGGATTTATGGAGCGCTAAAACTCTGCAGTTTTCCCTCATCCTCAGCTGGGATCTTTTTTTTTCCTGCTGAAAAGCTCCGGGATTTTTCTTTCCTTCCGGCACAAATCCCGGCTGGGAAGGGAAAGCGCTCCCAGCTCCTTCCAGCCCCGTAATTCCCACAAAATCCTGTCCTGGTTCCCACACAAATCCAGCCAGGCTCCGGCCATCATCCACAGACCCCATTCCCGGGAATTGGGGGATCCCATTCCCGGGAATTGAGGGATCCCATTCCCGGGAATTCGGGGATCCCATTCCCGGGAATTCGGGGATCTGGCACCTTCCCTGCGCCATCCAAAGGACAACGGATCCCATTGGGATCCCAAATCCCTCCAGGTGGGGATTTGGGGCTCTTTGGGTTTTCTTTCTGTCCCATTGGGATCCCAAATCCCTTCACGCCCCCTCCCAGATGGGGATTTGGGTTCTGGAGGTTTTCCCTCCATCCTGTTGGGATCCCAAATCCCTCCCCAGGTGGAGGTTTGGGCTTTTTGGGTTTTCTTTCCATCCCAGGGGATCCCAAATCCCTCCCCAGGTGTGGGTTGGGGCTCTTTGGGATCCCAAACCCCTCCGTGCCGGCTCGGGCAGGGTCCCCTCCCCCAGGGCCAGTCCCAGCCCAGTCGCTCCCAGTCCGGACTGGGAAGAGGGAAAAGGGAGCGGGAGGGGGCGGCGGGGTCGGGAACCCCGCGCTGGAGGGGATTAAAGGCTCAGCCCCGGCTCCAGAGGCGGAAATTGGAATTAAATCCATTTCCAGCGCTGGGGGCATTCCCGGCTTTCCCGAGGGTCCTGGAAGGGGATGAAGGAGGGTCCTGGTCCCTCGGGAGATTTTGGAGAATTTCCCCGGCTCCAGCTCGGCCTGGGGGGATAAAGCAGCGCCCGCTCTGCTCCAACTGCTTCCCATTATTTGGGAATTCGGCTCCATCTGGGAGCCAGATCTGCCCCGGGGGAGGGAGGGGGGATCGGGGGGAGCTGATCCCCATCCCGCCCGGGGCTGTGCTGGGATCGGGAACAAATCCAAACCCCCAAAATCCGGGATGAACGGCTGGGAAAAACCTGCGGGAAAACGGGGAAAGGTTTTTTTTTTTTTTCGGGCAGTTCCTGGATGGACGGGGAGGGAATTCCGGGCAGATTTGGGATTTTCAGCTGCAGCCGGAGCCGCTGCGCCCCGGGATGCTCAACTTTCCCTTCCCGCTTTTCCTGTCCCAAATTTCCTTTCCCAAATTTCCTTTCCCAGCTCTGTCCCGCTCCAAGGGGAGTGAGAAGCGCCTCTCTGGAGTTTAATTTGGAATTTTTTCCCCATTTCCCCCCCCCCCCAGTGATTGCTGTGTTTTCCCAGGGCCTGGCGCTGGGGAGGGGATTTTGGGGATTTTTGGGATTTTTCCCGGTGGATCCAGCCGGGATCTGTCCCTGTCGCTCCCCAGGCAGCAGATGTTGGGATTAAGCTGCTCTGGGCCTCTCCAGACTCCCATAAAAAGGGAAGGAGTTTTTCCAGGGATTTCCCCCAGCCCATCAGGCTCCTTTCCGGGTCTCATTCCTGATTTCTCCCCTTTTTTTTCCCCCTCTCTCCGTGCTCCTGTGGATCCGGCTGCTGTCCCCGATCCCACACAAGGAGTTTCCTGCTTTTCCTGCTCTGGGAATTCAGGGTGGGATTTGGGATCAGAGGATGCTCCTTGTCCCCAGCTCCGGGCTCCTTTCCCAGCCCCGCTCCCGAGGGGATCGGGAGGAATCCAATTAAAAAATTGATTGCAATGATTGGCCCCGGTTCGTGTGGGGGAACTGGGAGAGGGAATGGGAATGGGAAATGGGAAATGGATTGTGATAATGGGATATAGGGAATGGGAAATAGAGTCGGAAAATGGGACTAGAGTGGGAATGGGAATGGGGACAGGAATGGGATAATGGGAATGGACAGGGAATGGGATAATGGGATATGGGGAATGGGAATGGTCAGGGAATGGGATAATGTGATATGGGGAATGGGGATGGACAGGGAATGGGATAATGGGATATGGGGAATGGGGATGGACAGGGAATGGGAACAAGAATGTGAATGGGATACAGGGAATGGAAATGGAAACAGTAACAGGATAAGGAATAAAAAAAAGTGGGAAATCCCATCAGGAAGGCATGGGGGGATTTTTCCCATCCTGGATTCCCAGGGTTTTGGGGTTTTTTTGGGGTGAGGGGGATGAAGCGAGCGGGGACAGCGACAACGATGCTTTATTGGCATCCCAAGGATACACACGGACAAATTCCACCCCCCCGTGCAGCCCCCCCGGCTCATGCTGCCCCCAAACCCCCCCAAATCCTTCTACTTCCTAAGAAATCGACCCTGGAATTACAGAGGGGGGAGTGGGGGAACACGCGGGGTTTGTACACGGGACGAGCTCTGACTTTGGCTTGGATTTCCCCCCTGGGTTTGGGAGGAATTTTTTTTTTTTTTGGTGGGTTTTTTGTTTTTTTTTGTTTGTTTGTTTTTTTGGAATTTTATTCCCATTTTTTTTCCCCGCAGCCGGTGGGGAAATTGAGGCAGCCCCCGGCTCCTCTTTGGATGCTGAGTTTGTCCCAGTTCCCTCGGGCCTGAAAATCGGATTTTCAGGAATTCCAGGTGCTGAAATCCCTTTCCCACGGCGTGAGAACCTGAGAGCTGCGTTGTCCTGAGGAAAAGAATTCCCAGCGGGAGAGGCTCGGCCGGAAAGTTCGGTTTGGACCCGGGCACTTCATTCCAGGTACCCTCACTTTGTCCTGGAGCCGCTTTTCCAAAAAATTCCAGAGCAATGGGAACAGCCTGAAGATGGCCTGTGATGGAATCGGTCCCAAATTTATCCCAAATCCATCCTGAATTAATTCCAAATTCATCCCAAATCCATCCCGAATTCATCCCAAATCCATCCCAGTGTGGCTGGGGCTGGCAGGAGCTGGAAGTTTCCAACCCTCTGCGAGTGGGAATCGTAAATTTGGGACAAATTTTCTTGGATTGGAGCAACGTTGGAGAAGTTTGGGTCTCGGATTTGGGATTTTCCAGGCCCAAGAGTTCCCAGCCAGGGCTGGCCCTTCCCAAGGGATCTTTGTTCTTCCAGTCCAGGAATCATCCAAATCCCAGCCTGGAGTTTTCCATCATCCAGAGCACGGCAGGGAGGGAAATTTCCAGAAGATTTTGGAGGATCTGGGCGCTGGAATCCCGTGGATGCTGCTCCAGTCCCTGGGAGGCTCCGGGAACATCCAAACCCTGCTGCATCCCGAGCGGATTTTGGGGAGGGGGGAGCGTTTCTCTGCCTCCCCGCCGAGTCTTTAAGGCCAGAAATGAGTCGGGATCAAAGGATCGGGATGGGAATTCCCACCTGGAAGCGGGGAGGGGACAGGGCTGTCCCCAAGGGGGGGGGTCACACGTACAAACATCGAGCAGTGAAAGGGTCGAACACCACAATTCCTATTTACAAATCCCGGTCTGCCTTCGGGAGGGAATTTCGGGATGAATCCAGAGGGGTGGGAGGGGCCACACCTGGAGCGGGCGCTGTGCCCGCCTCACCTGGCAGGGACCCCGGGGTGCCCAGGGCAAGGGGGTGGTCACAGCCTTGGGGACATCGCCAGGAGCCCTGTGGCCACTCAGGGGACATCCCTGGGACCTTGGAGACAGCTCAGGGGACACTCCCCAGGCTGTGACAGCTCGGGGACATCACCAGGAGCCTGGTGGCCACTCGAGTGACATTCCCCACCTCGGTGGCCCCTCAGGGGACGCTCCCCAGCTCACCCAGCTGGGTCCGAAACGCCCCAAAAATGCCCTGGCGGGGGAGGGAGCTCTGATGTCCCCAATGACCCAAGGGGGACAAAGGAACCCGCGGGGACATTCCCGAGCCACCCTTCACAGTGCTGGCACAGGAGGAGCCCTTGGAAGCGGGGGTGGGGACAGCGGGGACAGTGCAATTGTGGCGGGGACAGGGCGGGGAGGAGGAGCGGAGCCCTTGGGGGTGTCCCCGATGGGGCAGGCACTTGGTCAGCGCTTTCCACCGTCAGCGTCCCCTCGGTGTCCCCTCGGTGTCCCCCGCTTGGAGGGGGATGGTGGCACCCCAACAATCTGCTCCTCCGTGTCTGGGGTGGTGCCGGTGCCGAAATCTCTGCACCCCCCAAATTTCACAGTGTAGGAAGCCGAGTCCTCTCCCCCAGCCCCCTCAGAGCCCCCCAAATTCCAGGCCAGCAGCTCCAGGGCTCTCCAGCCCCGCCCTCCGCCTGTTTTTTTGGGGGGAAATCCGCTGGATTTGGGGGTGTTGGAGGGGGGAGGGCAGGAGGAAGAGGAGCCCCAGGGAGGAGGGGCTGGAAGCGGGGGGGAGAGGAGAGGGCTGAGAGCACGGCGGTCACTGCCGTGTCCATCTGTCCATCTGTCCATCCATCCCGCCGACATTTGGGATCGAGGCTGGGTCTGACCCCCCCCTCCCCCTCCCCCCACCCCAAAACCCCTTCAGGGGCTGCCGGGCGGGGTCGGCGCTGGGAGGGGGCGATACCAGAACCGAGAGAAGCGGGGGGGACCCCTCTGCCTCCCCCCATTCCCCCCCAGCTCCGGGCAGGGCAGAGCCCAGAGGGGGCGGGGGGACCCCCCCTGGGCCACCCTTCAGACGGGGGAGGTGGCCGTGGACTCGCTGGCCAGGCTGTCGGCGATGTCCCCGCGCTGGACGCGGCGCAGGGCGGCCAGCAGCGCCTCCAGCGTGGCCGACTCGCGGCGGCCCCAATGGGCCAGCAGGGCCCGCGCCGGGGACTCCTCACGGGTGAAGGAGTCAATGAGCTCCTCCTTGTAGCCCAGCTCGCCCGCCAGCTGCCGCCACGTGTCCTCGGCAGAGCTGCCCAGCAGCTTCTCCACCTCGTCCTGTTTGCTGGCCGGCAGGGCCGTGTACGGGTTCCCGTCGGCTTTGGGGGCTGGCAGAGGGGAAATGGGGTCAGATCTGTCCTGGGGGGTGTGCCCGTCTCTCCCTGCCTGTCCTGGGGTGTTCCTGCCTGTCCCCAAGGTGTCCCTTCCCATCCCAGAGTGTCCCTGTCCATCCTCCCTGCCTGTCCCCAAGGTGTCCCTGTCCATCCCAGGGTGTTCCTGCCCATCCTCCCTGCCTGTCCTGGGGTGTTCCTGCCTGTCCCTGTCCATCCCTGGGTGTTCCTGTCCATCCCAGGACATCCCTGTCCACCCCAGGACATCCCTGCCCACCCCAGAATGTCCCTGTCCATTCTGAGGTGTCCTTGTCCATCCCAGGACATCTCTGCCCACCCCAGGGTGCCCCATTGGGTGCCCACCTGGCCCCTGGGTGCCGGGCCCGGGGGGTTGCTGGTCGTGCAGGCTCTGGCTGTCCACGGAGATGCCGCTGTCGCTGTGCAGCTTCTCCCCCTCGGGGGACGGGGTCTGGTTCACCGGGCGGTTGTTGGCTCCCTGCTTGTTCTGCTTGCAGCTGTTCCACCTGCGGGGACAGGGCACGGAGGGCACGTCCCCAAGGCTGGCAGGGCTTTGTCCCCTTCCCTGGGGTTTGTCCCCTTCCCTGGGCTTTGTCCCAGTCCCGGGTTCTGTCCCAGTCCCTGAGTTTTGTCCCCTTCCCTGGGTTCTGTCCCCTTCCCTGGGCTTTGTCCCAGTCCCGGGGTTTTGTCCCCATCCCTGGGTTCTGTCCTGGTGCCAGGACAGGCAGGGACAGGGGACTGGGAACAGGGACAGGGATAAGGGACAGGGACAGAGGTGCAGTGGGTCCCCCCACCCTGCTGCCACCTCCCTCCTCACCCCAGTCTGGTCCCCTGGGTGGTGGCACTTGTGGCTGTGGGACACCCAGAGTGGGAATCCCACTGTTCCCTGCTCCCCAAACCCCTGTCCCTGTCCCCGTCCCTGTCCCCGTACCTCTTGAAGGCGATGTAGGCCACCAGCCCCACCACCACAGCAGCCAGGATGGAGCAGTAGACGGGGATGAGGTTGTCACTGGTACCGTGGGTCACCACGGGCTGCGAGCTGCCCATGACGGTGGTGGCCACCTCTGCCGCCGTGCTGGCCACGCCCTCGGTGCTCAGTGGCTCCCTGGTGGGCGGCTCGGGGCTCTCAGAGCCCCCCAGGGACGGGGTCTGGGTTGTCCAGCGAGGGTGGAGACCTGCCAGGAAAATCGGGATCGGGAATTCCTGCAGGGATCTCTTCCCAAGGCTGCGCGGATTGGGGAGGTGACAGAACTGTCCCCCCTTGTCCCCAGGCTCGGGGACAAGCCAGAGCTGTCCCCTCTGTCCCCTGGCTCGGGGGTGGCTGGAGGTGGCCGTGGCTTTGTCAGCTCCGTCCTTGCTCCCGCTGCTGCTCCCAAATCCGGGGAAACCCCCCCAGCTTCCCCCCCCATACACCCCAAATTCCCCCCAGGACGGGGCTGAGGCTGCCCGGGTGCCCCATAGCCCCCATGGAGCCGCTCCCGCAGTTCCAGGGCCTGGATTTGTCCCTTTCCCGGCCCCAAGGGGCTCCGTCCAGGAGTGACCCCGTCCCTGCCACACCCGGGCGTGTCCCGGGAGCGATCCCGGATCCGTCTGGTCTTGCCCCAAAGGAACGCGTGGCTGCCCCATTCCGTGGATCCCATCCCGCTGATCCCGCCCCACTGATCCCATTGATTTCATCCCATTGTTCCCATCCCGAATTCCCTGTGCCCTCCCCGGGGCTTTGCCCGGTGCCACCGCCAAGGCCGGGTCACATCCCCCAGCCCATGAGTGAAGATGGAGCAGGAATCATGGCAGGAGCCGGGACCTGACCCTGCCACCGCCCCAGGATCTGTGCCAGGCTGGGATTGTGAGAGGCTGGGATTGTGAGAGGATGGAATTGTGAGAGGCTGGGATTGTGCCAGGCTGGGATTGTGAGAGGATGGAACTGTGCCAGAATTGTGCCAGGCTGGAATTCTGCCGGGCTGGGATTGTGTGAGGATGGAATTGTGAGAGGCTGGGATTGTGCCAGGCTGGAATTGAGCCCCGCCAGCCCCGGGGCCACAGCGCTGTCACTGGGGGGGTTGGTGACATGGAAGGTTTGGTGACACAGGGGATTGGTGACACAGGGGGTTGGCGGCCTGTCCTTCCCTGCCGTGTCCCAGCCCCGCTGCCCTTTGGGAGCCGCTCCCGAGCCCTCTGCAGACAAAGCCGGCCCTGTGTCCTTGACTTGTGGCTCCATTTACTCGACCCCTCGGCGGGAGCTGCCCCGAGCCCGGCCCGGCGGCGGCCGCCACAAAAAGCGCTTTTCTTGTAGGGCAGGGAACGACGGCGCTGCCGCCCCGGAACCGCCGCTGGCTGTGCCAAGGAGCAGCCGCAGGAGCTCAGCGCCGCTCTGGCTGTGCCTCTGCCCCCATTTCTTCTTTTTCTCCCTTTTCTCCCTTTCCCCAGGGGCTGGAGCAGCCCTGGCTCCCCTGGGAGCTCTGGCTGTGCCTCTGCCCCCATTTCTCACTTTTCCCCTTTCCCAAAGGGCCGGAGCCGTGTTCAGGACACTGGTGGTGACTGTGAGTGACCCCCAGCTCTTTTCTCTTGCCCATCCCAGCCCCACGCCCGAAATCCAAAGGGAGCTCGGGCAGCTGCACCGGGAACTCCCCAGCGGTGGCAGCAGAGCCGTGACAATGACACGGCAGAGCTGTGACAGTGACACGGCAGAGCAGTGACAGTGCCACACACACCAGAGCTGTGACAGTGACACGGCAGAGCTGTGACAGTGCCACACACACTAGAGCAGTGACAGTGACAAAACAGAGCAGTGACAATGCCACACACACCAGAGCTGTGACAGTGACACGGCAGAGCTGTGACAATGCCACACACACCAGAGCAGTGACAATGCCAGACAGAGCAGCGACAATGCCAGAGCAGTGACAATGCCACACAGAGCAGTGACAATGCCACACAGAGCAGTGACAATGACGGAGCAGTGACAATGCCAGACAGAGCAGTGACAATGACACGGCAGAGCCGTGACAATGCCACACAGAGCAGTGACAATGCCACACAGAGCAGTGACAATGACGGAGCAGTGACAATGCCACACAGAGCAGCGACAATGACGGAGCAGTGACAATGCCACACAGAGCAGCGACAACGCCGCAGCCCCGCGGGCGCGGCTCTTACCCCGACACTCCGCATCCGCCACTGCCGTGCACTCCCGGACCAGCACCTCGTTGTCCTCGCACGTGGTGCAGGGCAGGCACGGATCCACGAAGTTGGCCTCGCTGGAGAAGGTGCCCTCGGGACACTCCTCGCACACCGTGTCCTGCGAGTCCTTGCAGGAGAACATGAGCCCGAAGCCGACCTCGCACACGCGGCACTCGCGGCAGCTCCCGCTGGATTCATCCTGGAAATATCCGTAGGCGCACACGCAAACGGCGTCGTCCGACTCCACGCAGGGCGCTGACATGCTCTGCAGCCCCCCGCACTGCGTGCACGGCCGGCACGGCTCCGTGGCGCTCACCGTGTCCGAAAAGGTGACGCCTGTGGGGACACAGAGTGGCGCAGAATGTGGGAGACGCGTGGAGAATGTAAGAAAATTACAGCCTGAGAAATATTCCTGGTTGGAGTTTTTCAGCTCTGTTCCCGGCCGGTCCAGCGCAAAGCCAGGGAGAATTTCTGCCAGGGTGATGATTTGGTCAAAATTAAAAGGAATTAATAACAAAATCAAACGCCTGTTGTGGTGTGTGCCCAGTCCCTGGCAATGGGGTGTCTTCTCTCTGAACCAATCACCTTTTCTCTACTCTTGCTGTAAAACCGAGTGTGTTTCTGAATAAACTTGGCTCTTTCTATCATGACAGACGACCATGGAGCTGAGCATCTTATTTCCGCCGCACTTAAAGGGTTAAAAGCCCTTCCCACGGCTACGCAGAATCCAGAGGGGTGGGAGGGGCCGCACCTGGAGCGGGGGCTGTGCCCGCCTCACCTGGCAGGGACCCCGGGGTGCCCCGGTCACGGGGAGGTCACAGCCTTAGGGACATCGCGGGGAGAGCTCGGTGACATCGCCAGGAGCCCTGCGGCCACTCAGGTGACATCGCTGGGACCCCAGTGACAGAGTGCAGAGTGGGGCAGGGTGGCACAGGGTGGCACAGGGTGACACAGGGTGGGAGTGGCTGCGGTGGAATTGTTGTTTCTGCTCGCAGTGTTGAGCTCTGGGGTTGGAGGGAGAGGAGCTCCCTCCCTTCGGGCCCCTCCGAGTGAGGTTCCCATTAAACATCTTCCCTGTTCCCACAGAAATTCCCAGCTCCGAGCACATTTCAGGCTCCTCTTCCCATTAACACCTGCACCATTCCCACAACAATTCCGAGCACATTTGAAGCTCCCCATTAACACCTGCACCATTCCCACAATTCCCAGCTCTGAGCACATTTCAGGCTCCCCTTCCCATTAACACCTGCACCATTCCCGCAGGAATTCCCAGTCCCGAGCACCTTCCAGGCTCTGCTCCCCAGTATCGCCTTCCCCATTCCCACAGGAATTCTCAGCTCCAGGGACATTTCAGGCTCCCTTCCCCATTCCCTCCGCAATTCCCAGCTCCGAGCATCCACCAAAAACCCCAATTCCCATTAACCCTTTCCCCATTCCCCAGCAATTCCCAGCTCCGGTATCTCCCAGCCCATTCACGCCTTCCCCATTTCCCAGTAACTCCCAGTTCCCATCACCCCTCCAGGCCCAGATTCCCATTAACATCTCCTCCATTCCCACCTCCTCATCCCATTCCTTCCCGCCGCAATTCCCAGCTCCCCGCGCCCATCCCAGCGCTAATTCCTTTTTTTTTATTCCCATTCCCGACCCCTGGACTCTCCTCGCACCCCATCCCTTTCTCCTCCACATCCTGCCCGGGGGTCCCCAGGGCCCCTCGCCCCCTCCCCTGTCGCGTGTCCCCGGCTCGGGGTGTGATGGGGACAGGAGGTGACAGCGCTGAATCGCTGACTCTGCCTGACCCCGCGGCTCCCGGCGCTCCGGTTTCATCCTGCAGGGAAATCAATCCCCGCTCCCGGCTCTGCCCGCTCCCGGAGGAGTTTCGGGGATATTTTTAGCCCCGGAAGAAGGGGTCAGAACCGTCCTGGAGGGCGCAGCTGCTGCTCCCACCCTGCCCCATCCCAGGGAAATTCCAGAAGGATCCTACACCTGCATCCGTGCCAGGGATGGAGCCGGGAATGGCGATTCCCGCTCCCCGCAGCTTCCCTGGGCACACCGAGCCTGGCACAGAGGGGTTTTGGGCAGCTCCAGAGGGGGATGGAGAGCCCGGAGCTCCATCCCAGCCTCGGATCCCAGCGGATTTTTCCCATCCTCGCCCCCTCCCCTCACCCCGTGCCTGGGTGTCCCCTGTCCCCCACCCTGAGCTTTTCCCTGGATCTGCAGAGGACACCGGGGGATGTGGAATCACCAAAATCCTGGCATGGGTTGAGTCAGGAGGGACCTTAAACCCCACAGGGACACCTCCCACTACCCCAAAACCCATCCTGGGCCACTGCCAGGGATGTGGCAGTCCCTGGGCCCGCTGTCCCTGGTGCTGCCAGCCCCGTGGTGGCCCAGCAGCCCCAGCCGGGCGAGCAGCCCCGGGGCGGCACAGGCGGCTCCCATTAACCTGGGCTCATCCCTCGCATTATCCTGAATTATTGATGGGCCCCATTAGAGCGGGGAAGTGGCCAGGAAAGGCTTTCGGCTGAGTGGGCACATTTGCAGCGGCAGCCGAAGGTATCTGAGCTGAGCAATTACAGCCCAGATTCAAGCGCGGCCCCCCCCTCTCCCCCGGCAGCGAGGGATAAATAAATCATGAGGCGGCAATCGGGCACTGGTGGGGCTGGAATGGGGGGAAAAAAGAGGAAATTAGAACAACCCCCTCCCCTTTTAGGATGGTCTCTGAGCCCTCCAATGCTTTGGCTTTGGTTGCAGCAGATTTTTTTTATTTTTTTTTTCTATTTTTTTTTTTTTCCAAAACAATTCCTCGGGCGGGTCGGGAACGCGGCCAGGGGAGTGCCCGGGGTGCAGGTGGGGATCCGGCCCTGGGCCGTGCCCGCATTCCTGGGGTGCAGGTTGGAGGCTGTGCCAGGGCGGGGCTGCCTCTGCCTGCCCGGCCCGGGGGGTCCAGGGGGGATCCAGGGGGATCCAGATCCTCTCCCCATCCCAGTAAGGGATGGCTGCAATGTTTGCAGGTTTCCTCCCCTCCACACCCCAAAATCTATCTCAGGGAAGAGCTGAGGGTGGTGAGAGCCAGATTTTGGTGGGATCCAGCCCCAAACTGGGATCCATTCCTGACTGGGATCCATCCCTCACTGGGCACAGGGAAGCAGCCCCATCCATCGATTCCTGAGGTATTTTTAGCCCTGCCCTGGCTCTGCTCCGTCCCTGCTCGGCTCCTCCAGCCTCCTCTTCCTCCTCTGCTCTCCCTCCCAGCCCCGCTCTGGCCCTTCCTCCTCTCCCATCGCCTCCTCGGAGCACCGGGGCTGGGCTGGTCCCGGTGATCCCGGGCTGGTCCCGGTGATCCCGGGCTGATCCCGGGCTGGCCCCGCTGATCCCGGGCTGGTCCCGGTGATCCCGGGCTGATCCCGGGCTGGCCCCGCTCCCTCTGCCCGCGGGGAGCTCCTGGCAGGGCCAGGGCGGTCCCGCCGCCCCCGGCATTGTCTGACCGCGATCCTGGCCCGGTTCCTCCCCAGCATCGCCCTCCCACGTTTCTGGAGCTCCGGGCACGGGAATTGCGCCTGGAGACTCCGCTCCTTCTCTCCCTCCCCTCCCTCCCTTCTCTCCCTCCTCAGCTTTGCTGGGATTTTAAACCTTTGCATGGTTTAAAATAAAAATGAAATAAATGGGAGGCGTGGCCGAGGAGGGTGGGTCTGAGGTCAGTCAGGGTGGATTTTTTGGGGATAAATGTCGGGCCCGCAGGTGGAGAGAGAGAGAGAGAGGGGACGGGGCTGGGAATGAGCCCGGGATCAGCAGATCCCAGCCCAGGGATTGTCAGGGCGGATCTTCGGAGGGACTCTGGGGCTTAGGGAATCCGGGAATATCCCAATCCCAAGGATCATCCATCCCCCTGTGCGTGGGACCATCCCAAATCCCACCCTGAGCCTGAGAGCGCTGCCAGACCCAGCTTTGGGGTGGGAGGGGCATCCAGGAGCATCCAGGGGGATCCAGAGTGATCCAGGGGGGATCCAGGGGGGATCCAGTGTCCCAGATCCTCTCCCCATCCCACCAAGGGTTTGCTGTGATGTTTGCAGGTTTCCTTCCCTCCACACCCCAAAACCCCTCTCAGGGAGGAGCCCCTTCCCCACGCCCCAAACTCCCATTTCGGGGGGAGAATCTCCCATTTTAATTCATCCTCTCCCTAAACCCTGACCCAAAGCCCTCCTGACTCAGCAGAGGGGTGACCCAGGAACGATGTGGAGGGAACGAGGGGATGTTTGGGGCCTCTCCAGCCGCTGTCCCCGCTGTCCCCGGGGGGTTTGGGGGTACTCACTGTCCAGGCAGGGCTCACACACCGTCTGGTTGACGCCGCAGGGCTGCACCACGCCCTCGCCCACGTTGCAGGCCCGGCAGCACTCCCCGCTGGCCGTGAACAGATCGGTGGGACAATCGTCCTTGGAGCCCCCGGCGGGTCCCTGGGGGCAGAGCAGAGCACGAGGTCACTGCTGTCACCCTGGGTGTGACACTCCTGTCACCTCTGGGGACAACCCGCTCGTTGGAAACACAGATTTTTTTTTTTTTTTTTTTTTAGGGAAAAAGCGATTTTTCCAGGCAAAATTGGCTCGTGGGGAAAGGCCCTGGTGAGCTCGGCACTGCGGGGAGTCGGGAGAGCCCCCAGGGGTGATTTGGGGTGAGGTGGCCTCTGTTTGTCCTTGTCCTTGTCCCCGGCCTCAGCCACCTCCTCTAAGGGCCCTGAGCCACCCCGGGGGCTCGGCCCTTCCCAGCCCGGGGGTGGGAGAGGAGCGCAGAAATTCCTGCTTCGATGGAGGGTCTGGAGAGCCCGGGGGTCACCTCTGCCCCCAAAAATCCCCGAGCACCAGAAATGAGATGGAAATGAGGAACTGGGGGAGCCCCAGGAGCTTTGGTGACCTCCGTGTCTGTTCTAACCCGTCACCACACCTGGGAGCCACAAATATCCCCAGGGCAGCCCGGGGAGGGGCGAGCTGCTCCCCAAAACCCCCAAACCCCACCTGGCCAGGCCCGTGAGCTGCAGGAACCCTGTCCAGGACATCCCAAACCCCCCCAGACCTCCTCCTGCTCCCTCTTCTCGCAGCCCCAGCCCCGAACCATCCCTTGACCACCCACCCACGGCTGATTTTTTTTTTGGGGGGGGGGGTGAGGGGAGGCTCTGGGGGAGCATCTGGCGGCCTCGTCAGCGCCTTGGCCGCGTCCCCGCGCTCGATGCGGCGCTCGGGGCTCCGCATCCGGCGGGGCCGAGACAATGGAGCGCCAATTGCAGGCAGCTGAATGACAAAGTGCTCCAATTACCCAGCGCTGCTCCCGCTCCCCCTCCCCACGGCGGCTCCGCCAGCCCGGCCTGGCAGCCCCTTCTTCCAGAGCCTTTTCCAGACCCTTTTTCCCAGATCCTTATTCCAGATCCCTTTCCCAGGCTCTTTTCCCAGACCCTTTTCCAGTTCCTTATTCCAGACCCTTTTCCAGTTCCTTTTCCCAGACCCCTTTCCAGAACCTTGTTCCAGACCCTTATTCCTAACCCTTTCCCAGACCTTTTTCCCAGATCCTTATTCCAGACCCTTTTCCCAGGCTCTTTTCCCAGACCCTTTTCCCAAGTCCTTTTTCCACACCCTTATTCCAGACCTTTTTCCCAGGCCCTTATTCCAGACCCTTTTTCCAGGCTCTTTTTCCCACTCTGGGCAGACATGAAGGGATTGGAATATCGGGAATCCTCCCAGCACCCCCAAATGTCTCCTGGGAAGGGGTTTGGGGTGAGGCAGTGGCCACACCCCCCTCCTCGGGGGCGCATTTGGGGTTTTTGGAGCCAACCTGGCCGGGGCTCATCCTGCAACTCCCTGGGGATGCAATTCCAGAGGCTGGGAATGGGCCCGAGGGGAGCTGAGGGTTCCTGGATGTAACCAGTGAGGGGGCTGGCCAGGGCAGCACCCAGAGCATCCCAAAATCCCAGAGCATCCCAAAATCCCAGAGCACCCCGAAATCCCAGAGCACCCCGAGATCCCAGAGCATCCCAAAATCCCAGAGCATCCTGAAATGCCAGAATTTCCAGCTCAATCCCAGAGCATCCTCCAACCCCAGAGCTTCCAACTCTCCCAGAATTTTCACCTCTCCCAGAGCATCCCTCAATCCGAGTTTCCAGCTCTCCCAGAGCATCCCACAATCCCAGAATTTCCAGCTCCCCCAGAATTTCCAGCTCCCCCAGAGTTTCCAGCTCTCTCAGAACATCCCACAGTCCCAGAGCATCCCTCTGTCCCAGACTTTTCCAGCTCCCCCAAACTTTTCCAGCTCTCCCAGACTTTTCCAGCTCTCCCACGTCGTTCGCAGCTGCCACCAGCCCCGCGTGGGACGAACTCTGTGGCCACCTGTCCTGTCCTGTCCTGTCCTATCCTGTCCTGTCCTGTCCTGTCCTATCCTGTCCTGTCCTGTCGTGTCCTGTCCCCTCCCCGCGGGGCCACCGCCACCCCCTGCAGCTCCCCCCGCCCCCGCTCCCCGAATCGCCGGAAAATCTCAATTCCCCGCTCCAGGTGCCGCGGGCCCCCCTCGCTCCCAGGCTTTCCCTTCGGGGTCTGGGGGCTCGGAGCCCCCCTCGGGGGGCTGGGAAGGGGCACCTGGTCCGCGTTAGGCCGCGGAAATGGGGCCGTGATTAGCGCAGCTCCCGGTGACAAAGCCGCGGGTATTAACGCCATAAAACATCCCGACAGCTGGCCCGGCCCCGGCCGCGGCCGGAGGGCGCAGGCGACACCTCTGGAAGCTCTTAATTGTTTTTTGGGAGCCGTGTCGGGGGGGTTGGAGCCCCGAGCAGGCGCTGCTGGCTGAGGATGGAACCGCTCCGAGCGGGATTTGGGGATTCGGGAGCGCTGGCACCGCAAAGCGCCCGGCGCAAGGCAGGGGAGGCGATTTTGGGATGGGATTTTGGGATGGGATTTTGGGATGGGATTTTGGGACGCGGATGCTCCAGCTGGAGGCGAGCCCGGCAGCGACATCCGAGCTCTCCCCGAGTCTGGCGGGCGAGCTCTGCCTCTCTTGGCCCAGCCCCGGCTCCCGGCGCTTCCCGAATTTTGGGCAGCTCGGGGAGCCCCGGCCGAGCCTTGAGAGGTTCTGGAGCTGCCGGGACCGAGCAGCGAGCGCGGGGGGCCGGGGTGCGGGGGTCCCGAATTTTGGGTGGTCCCGGGCTGCGGGCACATCTGGGGGGGCACATCTGGGCTCTCTGCTCCCTGGGGCCACTCCCAGCCCCGCAGGTGCAGTCCCGGAGGGCAGAACCAGCCCCCCTCGAGGTGACCCCGGCCCCGGGGAGTGGCGATTTGGGGACATCACGGAATGGTTGAGATCCATGGGGCTGGGCCAGCTCCGCTCCCCGCTGTCCCCCCCATCCTCTCCCCGCTTTTTACAGCGGTCCTGGGCGAGTTTGGCCACCCCGATCCCGCGCGGGTGCGGGGTAAGGACCCCCCCCAGCCCCGCTCCGCTCCTCACCCCCTGCCCAGCTCCACCTTCAATATCCTGCCCGAGGGGTGTCCGGCTGCCCAACGACCCCCCTGGGACCCCCCTCAAATCCTGCCCCCATAAAAGCCCCGTTCCTGCCCCAGCTGCGGGCTCGGACCCCCCCGGCTCTGCTGCCCCCCCCTCCCCGTGCCCTGAAGTTTTTGTCTGGGGCACACGGCAGCAAAAAGGGTCTCAGCCTTCGCTCTGGGGGAGTTTGGAGCCGGGAAAATCTGGGAGAGGTTTTGGGGGGGTGGGCGGGAAGCAGGTGATGGAGGCTCTGGGGGGGGTTCTGTCCCCGCTCCCCTCGGACTGAGGCAGCGGCACCGGAGGGGCTGCGGGACCCCCATCCCCACCCAGCTCCCCGCGCCCCCTCCCTCCGCACCCCAAAAAACTCCGCTCTCCCTCCCGGGGGGGCTCCCGGTGCCTCCGGGACCCTCCAGCCCCGCACGGCAGCGACCCCCCGCTCCTCCCTGCGCTGTCCCCTGAGCCCTCCTGCCCCTCATCCATCCCGGGACCCCCTGTGACACCCCCGGGACCCTCCGGATACTCCCTGTGTCACCCCCGGGACCCTCCGGACACCCCCTGTGTCACCCCCGGGACCCTCCAGACACCCCCTGTGTCACCCCCGGGACCCTCCGGACACCCCCTGTGTCACCCCCGGGACCCTCCGGACGCCTCCTGTGACACCCCCGGGACCCTCCATCCCTCCCCCGCCCGGTGCCTCGGGGTCTCTCCATCCCCCGGTGTCCCCGGGCGCTGCTGCCCGCACTCACCGCCCGCAGCAGCAGCAGCAGCGACAGTGACAGCGGCAGTGACAGCGACAGTGCCAGGAGCCCGAGCCCGGCCATGGTGCGGGGGGAGCGGGGCCGGTGACAGCCCCGGCAGCCGGAGCGCGCCCGGGCTCTGCCCTCGCTCTGCCGCTCTCCGCCGCGGCGGCGGCCAGAAAAGGGCTGCAAGTCCCTCCTCCTCCTCCTCCTCCTCCTCCTCTTCTTCTTTCTCCTCCTCCTCCTCCCCCCGCACCCTCCGCCGCCGCCGCCGCGGCCACACAAAGCCCGAGCCCCCCCCGCGCCCCCCCCGCCCGCCCACCGAGCGTTTTTGGGGTGCGCTCGCTCCGTGTCCGGCCGGGGCTCTTCACCCCCTCGGTTCTTCACCCCCCGTCCATCATTTTCCCTCCTCTGCTGTCTGTCCGTCCTTCCAGCCCCCTCTCCACCCTCTCCTCTGGCGCGTCCGTCTGTCTGTCCCCGTCCTTCTGTCAGGGTGGGGTCACCGGTGCCATCGCAGCCCTTTGGGGGGACCAGACCTGCTCGGGCTGCAGGGGACAAGGGACAGCATCCCCCAGCTCTGGGGACACCCCAGGCCTGTCCCAGCTCGGAGGGGCCCCCAGGGGGGGACACGCGGCGGGGGCTGAATTAAATCTTTGTAATTCTGCCCTCCGCAGCCGAAAAAAAAAAAAAAAATCCCGTACGGGCGTCCCTAAAAAGGTCCCCGCGTGCCACCCTCCTTTGTCACAGGGTGACTCTGCCCGGCCTCCCGCCCTCCCAGCTGGAAATGCCAGGGCTGGTCCCTCATCCCATAGAGCTGTGTCAGCTCTGTGGGGTCACTGGTGTCACTGGGAACGGCCCAGAGTCACTGGTGTCACTGGGAACACCCAGAGTCACTGGTGTCACTGGGAACAGCCTGGGGTCAGTCACTGGTGCCACTGGGAATGGTTCAGAGTCACTGGTGCCACTGGGAACAGCCTGGGGTCAGTCACTGGTGCCACTGGGAATGGCCCAGAGTCACTGGTGGCACTGGGAACAGCCTGAGGTCAGTCACTGGTGTCACTGGGAACGGCCCGGGGTCAGTCACTGGTGTCACTGGGAATGGCTCAGAGTCACTGGTGTCACTGGGAACGGCCCGGGGTCAGTCACTGGTGTCACTGGGAATGGCTCAGAGTCACTGGTGTCACTGGGAGCAGCCCGGGGTCAGTCACTGGTGGCACTGGGATCAGCCCGGGGTCAGTCACTGGTGGCACTGGGATCAGCCCGGGGTCAGTCACTGGGATCAGCCCGGGGTCAGTCACTGGTGCCACTGGGAACAGCCTGAGGTCAGTCACTGGTGCCACTGGGAGCGGCTCGGGGTCAGTCACTGGTGTCACTGGGAGCAGCCCGGGGTCAGTCACTGGTGTCACTGGGACTCGCTGTCGCTGCCCCGGGCTGGCTCCTGTGGCCGCGGATTTGGCCTCGTGCGATTCCAGCTCCAGGTGTTTCCTCCCCGCTCGGGGCTCTGCAGGTGCTCCCAAAATCCGGCCCTTCCCACCCCTGCAGCCCCCAAATCCCCGCGGGTCGCGGTGGGAAAGCGAAGTTTTCCTTGGATTTCCTCTGGAAAAGCCAATTCTGGATTCTCCAGGCTGCTCCTGCCCGGGAAAAGCTGCACGGAATTCCCTCTCCCTCTCTTTTCCTCGGGATTAAAGCCGAGCCAAGGCTGCCGTTTGTTCCCGTCACGGGCACAACATCTGCGAGCCACATGGAGCAGATTCCCAGCCAAAACCTCCAGGCTGGGGCCAGGTGGGAACTCGGGGGGTGCCCGGGGGCTGGGATGCCCACCCGGGAGTTTGGGATGCCCATTTGGGGTTTGGGATGCCCACCCAGGGTTTGGGATGGGCAGATATAATCCCATTTTTTTAAAGTTTTTTTTTTTTTTTTATGGGGTCACCGATGCCACCGCAGCCCCAGCAGGACGGGATGGGGTGTCCGGAATTGCCCGGGGTGCAGGGGACAAGGGACAATCCCTGGGGACATTCCCGGGAGCGGCCGCGGGATCCCGCGATTAATTCAGAGCAGCAAGTGGCAAATCCAGATGTTTTCCTTGGATAAATCCTAAATCCCTCCCCCTCCTCCTCCTCCTCCTCCTCCTCCTCCTCCCATCACTGCCCGGTGCCGATCTGGGAACGATCCCGGGACAAATCCCGACCTTGGAAAAGCCGAGCCCAGCTGGGCTGAGCCAGGCCCAGGGAAAGGGAAATTTCCTCTCCCATCCCAAACCTCGCGGCTCCTTCGGAGAAAGGATCGTGGAAAAAACAGTGGTTTTTCCCCCCAAAAAATTTAAAAAGTTGTGGCCCTTTCCCGGCTCCACGAGGTGACAAAATAATCTCGGAAAGGTCTGGTGTCACTCCTGGAATTAAACCCGAAAGTTCCGGGGTGTTTTTTTTGGGGGGGAGGAACGGAACTCTGGGAGTGTTGAAATTCCCAAAAATTCCCCCACGCGTCTCTGGCTGCGGGGTGGGGCTGATCACGGTCCCGAAATGACTTTCGGGGACCCAAAAATTTGGGTTTTGGGGACCCAAAACGAGCTCTGGGTGACGCTGCCGGTGCCAGGGCTGGGCCTGAGGTGTGACAGCAGCTCAGGGAGGGTTTGGCCCCGTTCTTAATCACAAAAAAATACCCCAAAAAACCCCCAAAAAACCAAACTTCCACGGATTTTCCTGTTGCCTCCTGGTGAGGTTTCCCTGCAGAACTGCCAGGATTAATTAGCAAAAGGTCAATTAGAGCCGGGTGAAATAACGCGTGGAGTCCCTCCCCTCCTCGGGGCCTTTTCCCTCCCCTCGTTTTTCTCCCTTCGATCTCTCCCAAATTTTCTCCCAGGAGGATCCAGGGGATTTTTTTTTTTTTTTTTTTTTCCTCCTCTCCCTCCAGGCAGAAAGAGCCCGGCTTAAACACTGCGAAGTTTTTATGGATTTTACTCCAAAGCCGAGCTGAAATTCCCTTCCCGACAGAGCCGAGCCCGCGGTAATGGTGAGATATAAATAAAAATGAATTAATAATAGAAAAACACCTCGGGAAGAGATCACCCACAGCCGGGAGCTGGAGCGGGGAAGGAAAAGCGAGAAAAAACAGAAAGGGGCCGGGGCGGGGAGTGGGGCCCGTCTGCACAAAATCCAATTTTTTTTTGGGGGGGTGGAAAAAGGAGGAAAATTGGGGTGGAATCAGCTCTGAGTTGGGGTCACTGCGCTGGGAGATGGGGGTTGGAGGGGAATTTATGGCATTAAAAAAAAATCCAACAACAACAACAAATCCCTAATAAACAAACCAACCAAAAAAAAAAAAAAAATCAATACAAAACATAAAAAACACACACACAAAAAAAATCTAAAATGAAAAAAACACCTAAAAACACCAAATAAGACCCAAAAACCACCAAGAAAAAACACAAAAACCCTCCCTTCTCCTCTCTGGCAGCTCCCCCTTCCCTTTTTCCCTTTTTCCTTTTTCTCTTTTTTTTTTTTTTCCCAGCTCCATCCATCCCCAGCTCCTCGATGAATCCTCGCCCTTATAAGGCCGGGCTGGAGGAACTCGGGCAAAGCCGAGCTTGGCTGGGCCGGGGCCAACCGGGAAAAACAAACCCGGGCAGAAACCAGAGCCAGGCCAGGAGCAAAAAAAAAAAACGGGAAAAAAAAACTCCGGGAATGGAGAAGGGGCAGGGATAAAACCGCGGGATCGGTGATCGATGATCGGTGATCGGTGATCGATCGGTGATCGATCGCTCCCGCCCCCGGGAATTCTTTGATCCGGGATTTTTTTGGCGATTGTTGGATCTGAGTTTTGCTGTCGGCAGGAAATGAATCCGTGGGGATGAGCCGGGGCCACTGGGGATTTTATTTTTTATTTATTTTAGTTTATTTTTTTTCTTTTCCTTGGCTCGGGGCTGCGCTTTTCGCTGCGTTTTTTTGTTTTTCCTCTGGGGGTGGGGATTTGTTTTAATTGACTCGGCTGGAGCAGAGGGAAGGTGAAGGCGGAGTGGAATGGGGGGTGAGGAGGATGGGATGGAAATAAAATAGAGATTAAAATAGAAATAAAATTGAGATAAAATAGAAATAAAATTGAGATAAAATAGAGAGAAATAAAAACAAAATAGAGATAAAATAGAGATAAAATAGAGATAGAATAGAGATTAAAATAGAAATAAAATAGAGATAAATAGAAATAAAATAGAGATAAATAGAAATAAAATAAAGATAAATAGAAATAAAATAGAGATAAATAGAAATAAAATAAAGATAAATAGAAATAAAATAGAGATAAATAGAATAGAAATGAATATCTCCACTGGAAGGGTCTCTGTTTCACCTGGGGAAGAGGGGTGGGAATTTATTTTTATCTTAATTAGTTAATTGTTTTAATTATTTATTTCAATTCTAATTAATTTAATTTTTTATCTTTTACTCGCTTATTTATTTCAATTCCATTTTATTTTTATTACTCGATTTCTTTATTTTAACCTCTTTTTTTTTTTTTTTTTATTTTTAACAAACCTCATTTTTATTTTTTTTTTTTTTTTAAATTAATCACGTTGATTTTAATTAACTGCCCGGCGGGGATGGGGAGGTTTGGGTGGGAATTCCTGCAGGGAAGAGGCGAGGGTGGGGGTTGGGATGGATGGGATCGGGATGGGCAGAGCCCGCTCGGCCCCGCTGGAATTCTCCGAGGAGGAAATCGGGTAAAAACGATTTGATCGTGGCTTGTGGGGAGGATTTAACGAGAGCCGGGACACGACAGCGACAGCGACGACGAGCAGGGAGAGGATCCGGGGGTCTCTTCCAGCCCAGGAGGGATCTGGGGGTCTCCCCAAGCCCAGGAGGGGTCCGGGGGTCTCTCCCAAACCCAGGAGGGGTCCGGGGGTCTCTCCAAATCCAGGAGGGGTCCGGGGGTCACTCCCAAACCCAGGAGGGGTCCCGGGGTCACCCCCAGCCCAGGAGGGGTCCGAGGGTCACCCCCAGCCCAGGAGGGGTCCGGGGGTCGCCCCCAGCCCAGGAGGGGTCCGGGGGTCGCCCGCAGCCCAGGAGGGGTCTGGGGGTCGCCCCCAGCCCAGG